GACCCCCCCGATAAGTTACAACTCCCCTCATAGACCAAGAGGCACGCACTGAGATGGCGCGTTTTCGTTCATGTGCGCACGCTTCATGCACATGCATAGATAGTTCTGGCACTGTTTGTGAACAAAAAGTAAATCCGACCAAGCAAAGGCCCAAAGCAAGCAACCGCATAGCAAATCAAAGGCTGTCACCCGCCACTGCAAACCACATCACACTAGGACTCTACCGGTTCATCATGTACCGGCCCCTGCTGCTGCTGTCCAGCCACTTCCTCAGTGCGTCACGGTAATACTAAGTTCTGCGCACTACGGAGCAATCTGGCAGCAATGGACATTTATGGCTGGAGGAATGAAAATGTACGGATCGGCCTCAATTTGTTCCTTATTTCCAAAGGCCAAAATGGCCTCTTTATTCCTTAAAAGGAATACATTACTTAAAAAAAAACACTGTTGCCAGCTTGACGTGGTGGAACCCGCTCGCCAGGTCGCGCTTCCCCAGAAAGCCGTTGGCTGGCAGCTGTTCGAGAAGCGTGGCGAGATCGGGGAGCAGACAGGGGAGCTTGGTCATGCAATCATTGACCCCAGACCGAGAGGGGTCGGTTATGGGACGGATGGAGCCATCTGGCTTGAGGACGACGTGCAGGGGGTTGATGACGGCCGTGAAGTCGGTCTTGGAGCCATGCACGCTGGGGTCATATTGCTCGGTGACACCGGAAGCCAGGAGGTCATCGAAGTGCTGGCTCATGTCGGCGAGGTGCGGGAGGATAGAGGGATAGTTACGGAGGTGGTGGGACGGGTTAGGCTCCGCATGGAATGTCCAGACGGCCATGCTGCGGGATGCTGGTGTATCCACTCTATACCGCAGCCATGCCTCGGTGACAAGCTTGCTGCCCGCCTGCCCGAACCAAGGGCGCCCCGGGGCCGGAGGGAGCGGTTCGGGGATCATGGCCGCCGCCACTAAGGCTGACGCCTGTGCTACCACTGCTGCAGCGGCCTCTGCAGCCACTGTGTCGGAGACCATCTCAAGTTGCTGCGGAGGCGTGAGGCCCGCACCTACACCCACCGAACGGGACAGGGGGGGAAACCGAACCATGCACCCCAGGAACAATCAGCCGCCAACCTCCTTATCCCCGAGGAGGGGGCCGATATCGCGGTGCACACCCTGTCTATCGCCCGACGGGGAGGGCAGCTCTAACCCGCAGCGTGTGGGGGCCCTCCAACTGGGCTAAACGTCAGCAAGACGCCTCCTTATCCCCGAGGAGGGGGCCGATATCGTGGTGCATGCCCCGTCTATCGCCCGACGGGGAGGGCAGCTCGAATGCCGGCTCACGGACAAGGCAGGTACGACCCAACACAGGGCAACACGGAGTAGTCCCTCCTCAAAACACTGACAGGCACACTAAGCAAGGCACGCCACACTACAACTCGGCCTCTTCACGACACGCAAGCAAGGCCCAACGGGGACGGGGTGCACAAGCAGCCCCTTATGGAACTCATGTTGGGCAGCGATGTCCACCTGTTGTTGGGCGCCGGCCGCCTTGATGGGTATGCCCCCAGACCCCAGCCGCTCCGGTGGCGTTCCAGGGAGGGGGCAAGCAGCGGCCGGCGCCACTGTGACCTACACTGATGCCGGTGCCCCACGGGCGCCCGCCTGCAAGCGTGCCCGAGCCCTGTCGACTGCTGCCTGCTGCTGGTCCCGGGGCATGGCCTGGAGTTGTGGGCAGTTTCGAAAGCGGTGGCCCCGCTGGTTGCAGATTAGGCACGTGATGTCCTCGGGGCCCTCTTGGGGCCCCCCCCGGGGGCCAACATGGCGGCGAAGGGCCACTTGGAGCCGGACCGGCTGGCCGACTGAGGCTGTCCTGTAAGCACCACACCCAGGTATGCTCGCTGCTCGGAGGAGAGAGAAGCGAGGCAGGTGACGAGGGAGGTCTTGCACGGGTCCCCATCCCTTGCCAGGCGGATGACCTCCTTGTAGGGCAGCAGCTGTGACATGTCGTTGAGCTGCTTCTGGGTCTGTTGCGCCTTGGATGCTGTCTTGTAGTGCTGCGCCACCTGCACGGCCAGCTGCACCCGTGCTTCAGGGTCCTGTGTCCCGTTGAACTCCACTGCAGCCGCCTGAGCGGGCGCAATGTTGTGGTTGATGACATGGTTGGCATGACTGTTGAAGGCTGACTGGTTGGACACCAGGTGCTGTCCTCCTGCCGCCTTGAATATTGATCCCCACTCCGGCACGGTGTCCAGGACGTCCTCCTGGTCTGCTGCGAGGCTGAGCATATCACCGAAGGGTCCCAGCAAGCCAGGGGCAGCGGTCAGGTCGGCTGCCAACAGGCCGCTGGTGGTGGCTTGGCCCAGTGAGCGCTGGAGGGGTGCATTGAAGGGGTGCGGTGGGGGGGGGCATGCTGAACTATGACGACGCCAGCCTGGTGAGGGGCCTTGGGTTGAACGGCAGCTGGAGGGCGGGGTGCCGGCCAGGCGGCTGCGGCTGCCTGGGCAGGAGCTGCACTGTGGGCAGGCTGCACCTCAAGGTTGCCGATGATCGTCCACGCCAGCTGGTTGTACCCACCATTGTCGACTATTGTTTCAAGGTCAGAGCCCGCCGGAACACAAGCCCCCTGAGCTCCACCCTCCACGGCACCCTGGACACGACCGTGCTGACCCAGCCCACCCGAGCCACCCGGTCCCGCGTTGTCCAACACGGGGAGCTCACCGTCATCCTTGCCCACATTTGGGAGGGGGTGCCAGCCTTGCAGCGGAACACCGGAGATGAGCTGAAGTTTACGCTCCTGAATCGTGAGCCAAGCGGCATCGTGAGTCTTCAGGTCCGTGACGGATGGGTTGGCTCGAAGGAGCCTCGAACACTGTGCCTCATACTTGCACCGAATGGACTCGATTTTGGCTGTGTGGGCGTCCTTGGCTGATTTCGAAGCCCGCGCGGGCAGATGCTGCTCCTGCTGGCCGAGGTCTGTCGCCAACGCCTCGTTAATGGACAAGAGCTGATCTTCTACCCGTTGCAATATGTCCAGTTCATCCAATGAAAGCGGTGGGAAGGAGACCAGCTCTCAGTCGCAGTCAGTGGTCGTGCACAGATGGTCAAAGGGTGGCATGTCTACAGCAACCAACACCAGGAGAACTGACGAAATGAGCTGCGGATGATAAGACCGAAATGAGTTGAATATTACAAACCAAAGTTCGAAAGGGTGGGCGGGTGGGAAAGAAAGGTCGCCAGATCCACACCGCTGACCAACGGACAATAACAGCGGCAGCTAGCAGCTGTTCTGGTAAAGAGAGCTCGTATCAACCAGCAGCCGAGTCTGAGATCACCAGGAAGATAATTCGACAAGACGAAACACCACCGAGCAAACAGCAGTTCAAAACAACAACCAACCAACCACACCGTACGACACCACTCTGACGCCCCTCTTCAAACCACATTTTTGACTACGCCTAAAAAAAGATTTTGCAGACCAACGACTAAGGCAGAAGATAACCCTAAGCAAGCCCAAGTATATATGCGATCATAGCTTTCTTTACATGTCATCTTGGACAGTACAGCTCTGGTATTTTCAGAACAATGACGTGATTTAGGTTCATGATGCAAGCATAGCACGAATGGCAACGGTCAAACTGCTAGGTGCGTTATAGCCAAACATCGTGCGTTCAATAAGAAGGTTTGTCTAAGCAACCCTTCATAATGCCAGGTCTTCCATGCTGTGTGCTAGTCCACTTACTTTCGTAAAATGGCTGCCACCGCATACATTGATCAATACATAAGAGCTACTCATGAGGTTATCAGGTGGCTCGCAGTCCCTTCCGTGCACTGCAATATGCCAGGTAATGATACCCTCTCCAATCATGTTCACATAGCCAGCACCACTAAGCAACGACCAACCTGTCTCTCCCCCCTGTAAATCTGAAACTTCGAACTCAGTGTCGTCTTCCCCCTGCCACCACACACCAGGGAATCCAAACTCCTGGCCCTGCTGCTCTACCATGGTCTCACCATGGGTCTCGGACCGAGAGAGGGGTGCCGGAAGGCCATGAATCAGTGCACCTCTGGTGCCAGCCAGTGATTTTTTTTCATTTAGGGGGGGTCTCAATTTATTCCAACCTAAGTAACAAAGTTGCTAGCGTCGCCGTTATGTATTCCTTAAGAGTGGGGCGCTGGGGGGGGCTACACCCCCCCCAGACCCCCCCCGATAAGTTACAACTCCCCTCATAGACCAAGAGGCACGCACTGCGTTGGCGCGTTTTCGTTCATGTGCGCACACTTCATGCACATGCATAGATAGTTCTGGCACTGTTTGTGAACAAAAAGTAAATCCGACCAAGCAAAGGCCCAAAGCAAGCAACCGCATAGCAAATCAAAGGCCGTCACCCGCCACTGCAAACCACAGCACACTGGGACTCTACCGGTTCATCATGTACCGGCCCCTGCTGCTGCTGTCCAGCCACTTCCTCAGTGCGTCACGGAACGGGAACGTGCCCAGGTCGAACAGGTCCTGGGTAAACATCCGCACACACAATGCTAGGTGCTCGTCCAGGCGGTTGCGGGTGGGGTCCTGCAAGTACCCCATGGCCGAGAACCGCTGTTCATCCTCCAGCAACATTGCCGATGCATTACCGACAACAGCACCGCCGTCCCAAACGCCTTTATCAGGAAGAATTTTAGACTTATCTTGCTGTTTTTGTGTTTGTTCGGTGTTCAAGTCGTTGCCTTTTGCGTGTTTGTCTATGGAAGGACCGGTCATACATTCTGCTATGCCGCGTTGACTCACGGGCTTGACCTTCTTACGGCCCCTCATATCTATTTTATGATCGATAATACTAAGTTCTGCACACTACGGAGCAATCTGGCAGCAATGGACGTTTTTGGCTGAAGGAATGAAAATGTACGGATCGGCCTCACTTTGTTCCTTATTTCCAAAGGCCAAAAAGGCCTCTTTATTCCTTAAAAGTAATATATTACTTAAATAAAAAAAAACACTGGTCTCGGTCACTCCACCCTGGGGAAAGATACTGCAGCATACTACAGGTGGCAGGTGAACACCATCCAGTGCAGCTCAGGATTACCGGTCTCCCCATTAGTCCTCCTTCAGTCCGCCCCACTTTTCACACATGGACTTTGGACACTGGCAGTTCAATCCCCCTCCACACACACCAAAAGCATCAGGTAGCCTGCCCCTGACAGCCCAGGGTAGTCCCCTCCACCTGCTGGAGCTACAGCCGCCAACACTGCCCTGTGCTCCCCATAGCTCCGTGGATGCCAGGTACCCCCTGGATCGCTATCAGCTGCACACAGCGCATAGCAGTCAGTGGTGGCTGGTAGGGGCACCACCAGCACCTTTAGCAGGCCTGCCTGCAGCCGCAATTACTACTGAAAGCGGTCACTGAAGCCGGCTGATACACGGTTGCAATGCCATCCCACTGGACAGAATGAGCATCGGGCCAGGGAGGGCAAGGGAATGCAAGGGAGGGCAGAGGAGATCAATGGATGGCAGAGGAGGGAAGGATAGGGCAAGGGAGGGCAGAGTAGGGCAAGGGAGGGCAAGGAATGGCAAGGGAATGGAAGGGAGGACAAAGGAGGGCAGAGGAGAGCAAGGGAGGGCAAAGGAGGGCAGAGGAGAGCAAGGGACAGCAGAGAGGGCAGGAGAGGGCAAGGGAGGGCAGAGGAGAGCAGGGAGGGAAAGGGAGGGCAGAGGAGGGCAAGGGAGGGAAGGGAATGCAAGGGAGGGCAGAGGAGGGCAGAGGAGAGCAGGAGAGGACAAGAGAGAGCAAGGGATGGCAGGAGAGGGCGAGGGAGAGCAAGGCACGGCAGAGGAGAGCAGGATAGGGGGAGGGAGGTGTAGCAGCTGGCCACTGAAAAGGCCTCTCAAGATGCTGGTGGTCACGTTATTTATAGTGCTGTACTGTGTACCGGCTGCTACATTCCCCCCCCTTTGGAGGGGTCCATCCCAGGCCCTTAGAGCCTCGTATACCACCAGCCTGTGCCTACCTTCGCCTACCCTCAGGCAGTGGGGTGTTCAAGCCCACGTCACGGCATGGTCTGCTTCATGCGCCTAGCCCTCAGGTTTTTTAGGCACAGAGACAGTCCAGTCGGTTCAGCTATTTTTATATAGTTTGTGCAATATTCGCTCACTGAGTCGCCTAACCCTATATCCACTCAAGCATGATTGGTGGGGGTTCAACCGACGACTTCAGGATCGTGAATTTTCACACGGTCTCGACACCAAATGTAGCAGCTGGCCACTGAAAAGGCCTCTTGAGATGCTATTGGTCGAGGAGAGCAAGAGATGGCAGTAGAGGACAGGGGAGAGCAGAGGAGAGGAGGAAAGGGCAAGGGAGGGCAGAGGAGGGCAGAAGAGAGCAAGGAACGGCAGAAAGAGCAGAAAAGGGCAAGGGAGGGCAGGAGAGGGAA